ACCGGACAGAATGTAAAATCGGATATCCGACATTTTCCAGATATCCGACTCCAGGAAAATGTGTTCTTAAAAAAAAACCTATAAAAAGGAAAAAATTGAAATTTTGCAACAATGTATAAGACAGTATAGCATCATGAATATACATACTTATTTCTAGAACATTTGTATAATAAAGTATCTACAATTTAATGATATCAAATTCCAACCGGGATACTAATGATATCCGATTATCCGATCGGATAGTAAAAAAGTGCCGAGTAATACCGGATACTTTTCGGATATCCGGTGCATCCCTAAAAAAAGAAAGTAAAGTACTTGATTCATTTTCTTATATGTGTTATGCGTTATGTAGAAATTTGTTTACGTCGCATGCTCTAACATACTCCTACAATATAGGCTGCATTCCGTTTCACGCGTGATGCGCATGATGCATCTTTTATCCTTGTTATTCACCGAATGTTAAACAAGGATAAATGATGCATCATGCACATCACGCATGAAACGGAACGCAGCCATATACTCGCAATTCCTATACTCACGCGCGTTGGAGTCAGTAGGGGATATAATAACAACATATTAGAACATGCGACGCAAACAAACCACAAAACTTTTTGCTTCCGCCCACAATAATGGCTGCGTTCCGTCATTTACTGCGCGTATCAAAAATCTATAGCTCACGTCACGTACTAGAGAGTTCCAGTACTCCCAGTGAACAACGAAACAAAGCCAGTGTATGACTGTGTTTCGTTACTGGAAGCACCCTTAATATATATTTCACTTACGAATTAAATGAATAATTTCGACACCACTCCGAAGCCGCGTCTGTCGAATTCCGCAAATAAAACGTAAATACAGTTAAAAGCGTAACGGTTTCGTCTCTCGCGCGGTCAACTTCACGCGCATGGAGCGCCGCGACGAAGCGATGCGATGTTCCGCTCTTACAATTAGCTTATTTTACGCATTTTCGATATTTTAACAATAATCGCTATACATTTACCATGGTAAATTACCGCTTTTTAACATACGTACATAGATATATACGGTGATCGTTAAGATACAGGCATATTCATTCTCCAGTTTAGGCCATGGCACACACCTTCCGTACCAGTATCCATAAGACGTACCGTAAGAATCAGCCAATCACAGTAGAGAATTCTTTTGAACTCTTAATTCTAATTGGCTGATTCTTACGGTACGTCTTATGGTTACTGTTACGGAATGTGTGTGCCATGGCCTTTTCTCTCAAAAGTTGAATATTCGAGAATCGCAATATCACAGTTCGAGATTCTCAGATATCGAAACGGCCGAGGAGGCGACCCATCGATTAATCGATACCTAACTTGTGCAGGATTCTATCAGATATTCTGTAAATTTTTGCATGGCGTACAAATAGAATTAACAATGTATGATTTATCTTTTTAGACATCTTTGTGATTAATACATTTCTTGCAGATGTAAGTGATGTAAGTTATATGAATGTATTTTTCTAATTTTCTTGTTTTTTTCTTTATTGAGTACATAAAGAAGTTGTATATCCTAACCTAAGAATGTATCGTTGCGTTTTTGTAGAGATTACTGAATTTATATTCCGCTATCATATCTTAAGATTCAACATGAGTGATGAGGAAGAGTCCCTACTTACAGAAAATAAAGCTCGTGTAAGTTCTTTATTTTGTCTGTTTATTTGAATTGATTTTATCCAAGACTGTTATTACAAAAAGAGCTTTTATACGTGATCATATGTTTTGGATTGTTATGTTTTAGGAACAAATACGAGAGGAATTAAAACATATGAGTTTTGAGGATTTACAGAAGTTAAAGGAGAAATTAGGAACCAAGGTGTACAATGAGACTCTGTTTGGTAAGAAAAGTAAGAAAAAAACAGAGAAAATAAAATTTAAACGGGAAAATAAGAACAGGCCACGGGAAATGTCTGCTAAAAAGCCAATTCCAATCAAATACGAAAAGATGACACAAATCAAGGAAGTTGCATCTCGAGATCCTAGATTTGATAGTTTATGTGGTACATTTAATGAAAAGGCCTTCAAGAATTCTTATGCATTTATTAACAAGCTACGGGAAAATGATCTCAAAACTTTGCAAAAAGAACTGAAAGAAACTACAGATCTCAAAGCTATAAAGAAGATAAAATATCTTATCCAGAGGCTTGAAAATCAATTAAGAGAGGAGAGGAAAAAGAAGGAGAAAGAAGAAAAAAAACAGCTTGAGAAGAAGGAACTGTTGGAATCTGTTAAACAAGGAGAGAAGCCTGTCTTCAAGAAAAAATGTAAGTTGATTTTATTATTAATATGATTCTGATTTATATTATATTATTTTATTTGTCTTCTGCAGCTGAGAAGAAAGTCTTGGACCTAGTTTCACAGTATGAAGAATTGAAAAATACAGGAAAACTGAAGAAACATATTCAGAGATTGCGGAAGAAAAATAAACACAAAGATAGGACAAAATTAAGAGTGGAGGAAACAGAGTAAAACATATCGCTCATTTGTTACAACTATGAGACAACTAAAAAAAAGTTCTTCAGAAAATGAGTTATGCAGTTTTGATGTTGATTGATTGTAGAGGAATAAAAGTATATACTTTTGAAGTATGTTTTTTTTATTATGTTTCCGTTCTTTTTTGACAAACAACTAAAAAGTGATATTTTAGTTATATTTTAGCAAATGAGCGATATGTATATATACATTATGTAAAAGAAATGTAAATATGATTGCATATGAATTTTGTAATTAAGTTGAATTATCGACAAAGTACTATTAAAAACAGCTAGCTATGTAAATAAATTTTATAATTATGTCTATAAGACTATTGCCTTAGTAGAGATCTATAGTTAATTCTTAGCTCACTATACAAAGTTTCAACTTCCTTTATTTTACTTGTGATTAATCAAATACTGAAGAAAGTCGCAACACTGTCCTTTCATTACTTTCTAATCCTGCTTACAGACATTCTTTATTACTATAACGACAGATATCTATAATATAATTAGATTGCTGACTTATTGAGAAAGCATTTGTGAATCTAAAGTAGAACTATACTTTTGCATATTCTTTTATTTTAAGAAGAGTATGTCTTCTACATTTTCTCATTAATATTATTGTTAATATATCTTTACAAAATAAATATAGGTAAATAATATTCCTCATAATAAGGAAATCTTGTTTAATTTGCAGAGTTATAGTTTATACATTTCAAATTCGTAAATGTATATAAAACAAGTTACAAATTACAATTAATTAACCATTAACAGTGGATCAAATAAAAAAATACTTCATAAAATGTTTAAAAATTATAAAATAAATAATTATACAAAATATAAATAAATTTATAAAATATAGGAATAGAAGAAATATGTGTCTGTGTGTATATATATATATA